ACATGTGGACGTGCCGGGTAGCCAGAAGCTAGACTAACGGCTAACTCGTCTTCTGTGGAACTTCAGGCAAAGTAAGACCTCTGACTGTCAGCATAATCTGTGCAATAGGCACGACACCATCATAAGTTCGAGCAGTACCCCCAAAAGTTCTCCAGTGGACTCATCTCCAGGATTTTCTAGCGCTTGGCTTGCTGAAATTTCGAATAGCAAGCCCTTAAATGCGAACGACATGTAAATAATCGTAAAGGCCCAGATAGTCTCTGTGCGTCCGTTTTTTTTTCACGGATCGCTCCTGATCGCTGCAGTGTCCTTTGTGACCTCAGCAGGCAAACATAAGGCCCTTCGACACAGCTTTGACGCCGGGGAACGTCTACCTGACAGTTCCTAGCATGTGGACGGTTGAGGGCGCTTGTGCTGATGATGGATAGTGGTCTAATCCAACAATATCATGTAGGTTACATGCTAGAGCAAAGGACAAAGCAGCGACAAGGGTCGCAGAGATTCTCCACGTCACGGGAAATCGAGTCAGTGAAGAGGGTTCACCGTAACTGCTTTCACTGAGCACGTTCGGCAGGCAGATATAAGAAAACGCTAAGTGCGAAAAATTGTAATCCGGAAAGAATGACGCCTTCATCCCTGAAGAATTCAGGTGGGCAAAAATGAGCGACGAAAGTAGCTCCATTCCCTACAACGCTGGGTTAAAACTATCATCTGAAATACCAAAGAATTCATGTCAGGGGACCCAATGCATGAGATGATAATCATAGAAAGAGTAACTTGGGGAATAACAGTCCGGGTGTGGACGGAAGGGTTGGTCCCGCGTCGTGATCACAAGGCCGAATGACAAAAGTGGATCTTGTGTATGCTTCTCTGTGGCTGAACGGTGGTTATAACTACTCGACTGAACACAGCAGGATATAGCTCGATTTCTCCGAGCCAAAACTCCATTAATTCCTAAGCTGCATCTTAAAAGCTCGCCTACAGAGGATTCTAGGTGGTTTACTAGTTAGACGAACAAAAACTGATGTACAGAAACAGCGTTCCTCGGTCCTCCTACAATGCGACGCAAAGTTAGGCATGACACTGCCGTTACTCTGCCCTATGTCAAGTTCGAAGACGGGTAAGCAGTGAATATGGAAGAACACGGTGTTGCGCCTTGACGAGGCACCACTACCAGCAATTAATTCGTTGGCCACTTAAGATATCAATCGTTCGGAGTACGGAAGCAAAATCCATCACATTTGTACGGCAAACGAGCTTCTTTAATTCCAGTTCAAGGGAGAAGCCAGATACGGCCTAGGCAGCACTATTAGGTAAATCATCAGTCCGAGACCAATATATGGGACGAAATAGGCGGAGAATTTAGTGTAAGAAGTCCAAGAAGGCAGTCCGATAAATGCATTTAACAGCAGAAAACGCAAAAACACGGGTTGAGAGGCCAAAAGGTAATTTTACATTTCTCCTGGGGAGATGCGTATGTCATCGATCCTCAAAATCATTTTGCAGAGTTGTACAGCCAACATAATTTGGGCCCTCTTCGAAGTAAGAGTTTCAAAGACGTTCTGTTCCCTCATGTCTGACGTGCCTTTGTTGAGACAATCAATCCCAAGATATGGATTCTTCTCTTGGACTTGGCGACCCTTGACGTAAGCAACAGTTTCGATGGATGGAAGACCCGAATTTTCGGACAGAGCAACGGGAATGGACTCCAACGCATCTGCAAAGGCGCGCATCGCATACTGTTCTAAAGTAGAAATTCGGTCGGCCTCTGACGCAACGGCAATGGAGCAGGCTAGTTCACAGGCGCCACCTCCAGCAACAACCCTTGAATCGCGAACCTAGAAGAGTTAGCAATGGAAAGGCAAGCTCACCAAATTTCGTACGACACAAAGAGCGTCGTGCAATGAGCGCTTCGCTTCGTCAACAATCATTCTTGATGATCCGCGCAAGAAACAAGTCACAGCCTTTGTGTTCTGACAGTCCTCAATTACCAGCATGCGTTCCTTGGTGGTGCCAAAGCACATCTCTCGGACGGTCCCAGCTCTTCCAAGCTTTTCCGCCGTTAACTCCTCAAAGCGAGGAACGATACGCCCACCGGTAGCGATTGCAATTAGTTCGATTTCGGCTCCCCCAACCCAACGCACGGCTGGCAGTTGTTTGCTAAGTAGCAGATGGTTGGCCTCGTCATCAAAGCCCCACTGGCATATTACTAAATTTGCACCCGTCGCCTTGACACTAAAAAAAGAAAAAAAGTTGGACATTTAGGCTAGATTCCGCTAAATTTGGGGTAGACGACTGAGACCAAAAATGCGCCTTGTCAATAGTAGTGAAAATGCGATTCCCGAGTGGCATATCAATGAGGAGGCGTTCAACGGGAGAGGTGTATTTGAGGTCTGACGTTTTGGGTAGTCGTTTCTTTTTAAGGTGCCTTGTAACTATTCGCGGATGAAGGGTTTGGGCGGGGACGGTGAATGAAGCGTTTGGTCGATGGTAAACTCACGTCCACAAAAAACCGCTGAATCAACATTTTAAAGCAAAAACCACTAACTCTGAAGGTTGCAAATGCGATGATGACTTTAGTGCATCAAACGCGATGACAAAACTCCGGAAATAGACTTTGAAAGTGAAAACTGCAGGGACACATTGGGTGAGTGAGAATCCCTATGAATATAGCTTTGCAGTGGACAAAACTCAGGTGAGTTCTACCTACGATGTTTTCGAATTACAGAGCTTGGCCGCACTTGGAACAAATCTCAAGCATGCGCAAGATAGTTCTTTTGTGGCCTCGACTTCAAAACAAGTAGGGGTGTCGATCAAACCAGCTCCCTATACCAGTCGAGCGCCACACACCAAAGGACCACACTCGCCTGTCAGTGACGCCCTCATCTAAGAGGATGACCCAGCCGAGGTTTGGAGGCTTTATGCGCAGGCCTCCGAGATTCATGCTTAGCGACTGCTCTACCCTCTGAACAGAAGTATGCAAAGTGCATGCTTGCATTATTTTTCTAGCACTAAAGAACTCTAAACGGATAACCGTGTCGCTAAAACTATTATCGCAACGGACAGCACGCTTCTCCGTCTCCGAGGCCATCTTTAAAGAAGGCCCAAAGCCGACGTCAAATTCCCCGCCGCCCAGAATCGTACAAGTCTGACAGTTCTTCGACCTAGTGACGCTTAACACTCGGCTGGGAGCCTATTTGCACGACACAGAGTTCGGATTAAATGCCTAAGGAACTATGGCAGGTCACGGCTATAAACCGCGCGTAGTTTGTGTGACGATGCAAAGGTGGACTCCTGGGATTTGCCGCCCAGACAGGTTGCAGACTTCTAAACAAAGCAAATGTTATGCGACTCAGCAGCGCAAGTTCTTTAACCCAAAAGGGGCAACCGAAAATGCGAGACATTAAGAGCAGGGAGGTACCTCCAAGGGGTACACAGAAGGCAAACAAACTCTAAGCAGGGACAGCTACGCACGGAAGCAACCTAGGATGAGCAATCCGGCGGCAGGAGATATTATCTAAAACATACCTATCCACCATCTCGGTAAATTTCTCTTGTTCGTACTGGCGAAGCTTGCGGTAGTCCTCCACACTTTCTACAAACAAATTGTGTTTTGTTTTCGGCTTCGGCGGTTCGAATGGGCAGGTTAAGATCGCGAGTTTAGCATCTTTAACTTCCTTCGGCATCTGAGGGTGTGAGAAGTCCTTGTCGACAACAACTCCCTTAACTAGGACTGAATCCTCCAGACGGCCCCCAACCTTGCCTTCCACTTTAATAAGTTCAAAGTCAACATCCTTGCGTTCCAGGTCGGCAACGCAAAGAACTGCGTCAACGGCCATCTCCGCAAACTGGCGCTGACAACGGCTTACACTAAAACGGAATTAGTGACTTTATAACATACATCTTTGAGCCCAATGCAGTCATAGCAGTCTTGATAAGGGGCTCCCTGTCCTCGGCAGAATACTTGAATTCCTGGCTGATGTCGTTAAGCAGTTTCAGGCAAATGTTGGCCGCCAGTTCGTAGCCGTCGGCAATCCTAATAGGATGGATCCCACGATCAAGGAGGGCCTCAGCCTGCTCTAATAATGCTCCCGCAAGGACTACGACACCGGTGGTGCCGTCACCAATCTCGTCATCTTGTGAACGGCTCAGTTGGACAAGAAGTTTTGCAATTTCATGTTCCACGTCCATCTTCTCCAGAATAGTCCGACCGTCATTTGTGACAGTGACATCTCCGTCAGGGCTAACAAGCAACTTATCTAGCCCTTTCGGTCCTAGAGATGTCTTGAGTGTGCACGCCACCGTCTTCGCAGCTAAGATGTGCGACTATTATGGACAAAATAATCTAAGTGGGAATAAACCTTATGAGCCTGGATGCCCGTGAGACGTTTCTTTTTCTCCTGGTCTCTTATAATAATGAACGGTCGCCCATATTCATCAAAGGCCAATTGAGAATTCTCTCCCATCAATGCCTCCATGCCTGAGTAAGCAATTTGGAGTTCGCAGCAGATTACGCGAACAACAGAGGCTCTCGTCCCGGAGTGGTTCCTTAATTTGATTGCTCACGCTTTTGACGTTGTTCAGAATGAACGAAATACAAAATATTCAGGATCCCGAGTATAATCTCGAAATTCTTCGAAGGACGTAAGATGTTACCAGATAGCTTGATATGATCTTGGACACAGCAAACATATTAGAGCGGTTAACGGAAAATAAGAGCGGTTCGTTGGGTATTTCGCTAGAATCAAAGGCAAAATGGAAAATAAACGAAGGAGTGAGATCCGGAAAAGACGTATATGACGTGGTGTGCGTCGCGTTACGTGGTAGTTATTTTTGATGATTCCAGTCAGTTTTTAAGCATGAAATGGAAGAAAAATCCAACAGCAACAGCAAGTAGAAGGCAAAATAGCTGAAACTGCCCGTCATATGAACAAGGTTTGAAATTTCGACCTCCGAGGGATTTGCTTTTTCCGGGATTTCTGCCTACTGGACGCTCTGCGGGCCCATTTGGATTAAGAAATTGAAGCGTAATCAGCAATTCCTCGAACGATCCACTCAGAACTCCGACAGAGCTTTCTTTGGGACGACCATACTCCTTCGTATCAATTCTCTGCCAACAGCACCGCGGGGTTCTCCAGATCCAGAAGCGGCTGAGTCGTTTGATATCTACTTCATATTTTTGGCTTGGTTAAAAAGTTTCTCCCACACCTTTAAATACTTCGCCCATACCTAGAATCCCTTGCGTATCGTTTGAATTAATAATGGGAGTCGACAAAACACCATCAGGACAATGTGCGAAAAACTCGCCGCAGGTGGGATTCGAACCCATGTCCAGTCGTACGGTGACCAGCGACATGACCGCTAAACTATCGGCGCACGCCCAGCCGACTGAAATAAATAATGGAGTAAACATTATTCGTAGTACAAACGACACTATGTATGAAGGGAAGTCAATTGAGAAGGCCTTGCCACCTAGGATTAGCGCTCGTTCTCTTTATAGTTGCAACCAGGGGCCCGCAAAGCGTGCTAAAAGCGTTATTACAGCAAAACCTGTTAGTTACGAGGACGAGCCATGCACTGGATGCTCATTTATTCTGCTGAAAGTTCAAGAACTCGAAAAAGAGTTGACTGCTTTGAGGGAACTCGTGCAAGCGAACGATAGTGTGCAAAACGCGGTGAATAGCGCTAAAGTTAGCAAGAAAAAGGGAAAGAGCAAAACTCTAAAACAACCAAAGAACAAAGCTTGTGGAAAACCTCTGTGCAAGAGCGCCGATACCCAGGACGATGGGAAAATAGCAACGGAGTCTCTTGTTTCTATGGGAGACAACCCAAGCGAGCCATCAACTTCTCTCAGCTATTCCGCGTGTTCAATAGGACCCTCAGTTGGAAGTGAGGAAACAAGCTCATGGCAAGATGGAAAGGGTAAGCGCCACAACGGGAGTATAGAACCCCAGACGACTCCGGTGGATCTTCTGAGACCTTCAGCTGACAAGGCCACCGGAAACAGAAAAAATGAACCCCTTGATCGTCAGCACTGCGTAGTCGTCCAGGGTCTATCGGAGTCGGATGCTCCTACCCCGAAGGAGAGGATCTCCGCTGACCTTAATATGCTTCAACACCTACTGAACGAAATGCTTAATTCGAATGAAAAGATAACCATTCGCGCAGCCTTCAGGATCGGAAAGAAGGTGGGCGAACAATCAGAAACTGTGCGGTCACGACCTCTGAAAATTGTTTTGAACAGTAAAGAGGAAGCTAGCTTACTTCTGTCCAGGAAAAGCAGCCTCCGAAACTTTCACAAGGAAGTTTTTTTTCAGCCGGACTATTCTCCAGCGGAACGTCTGAAACGCCGCGAATT